AAATTTATTAGAACTCTCGAGATTTAGAACAGCACTCGTGTATCTCGAGTGTTTGAACTGAAGTCGACTGTTTCAACTTCTCCTGCAGAAGTCATTTAGCTGAAATGTAGTTTCCGAATAAACTTAATTCGAAAAGCAAAAAATGCGAGATGAAGGAGAGTACTTGTCAAGTACTAGTTAAAAGGGAATTCATGTTCCACTGAATTTACACGTGAACTGCATAGGTCAGGGTTTTTCACCACACGTTGCACTTTGCCATAAATTAATTAAAGAGTTTTTAATTGCTGTGAAAATGGAATACTATAATTTCTAAGATTTTCGGGAATAATTTAATGACCATTCATTTAATTGTAGGAATTGTCTGGTCCTAAACCCAATTATCCTCTCATCCTCATTAAAATATCTCAATTATACTTGCAGGTGTTTGCAGTTGCGGATTTATTCAAAGAGAGACGTGTCCCCTCATCTTCAATAGGCACAGCGCACTCCGAGAAATTGACAACGTTGGATTACGACGTCGAGCCTGGCATGCAGGTGAATAACGGCCCAGCCGATCGCATCAGATAGAACAAAAATTATAACTATAAAAAAAAAAAAATTCAAACATTGCTCGCTTCCACCAAAACAAAAAAAAACCGCCGTGACGTTGCTCTGGCTTTCGCCTAGACTCTGTTCCCGCTGACGAGCCCAATCTCCGGGACAACAACACCCTCACCCACCAACAAGTGAGACTGGCTAATTCCAGCTGATGGCAAACGTCTGGTCTTTCATTACTTCATGAAATTTGGTGGAGTTCTTCGGTGTTTGATGTCAAGCCGACAACTGGGTGACATTTCCCCCCAGGACATCACTCGATTTAGGCAGAAATTCCATCATCTTGGGGACATCTGAATTTTATTTATAATTCTCAACGCTTACGCCTTCCTCGCCACCCAAAAGTCGGCATTTTTTTCTTCTATCTGTTGCCTCGTATCCAATTACTGTCCAATTATTGTCCAATTACTGTCCAATCGTAGCAACCGAAATCACGAGTCTATGATGATTTGAAAAATATTTTTTATGCTTTATTTGGACCTCTCGATGTATTATTGTACATATGGTTTTAATTTCCTGCAATTTGTACAAGTCTTTTGCGCTTGTTGTAATTACTTGTCCTCTCAATTTCATTTTAATTTCCTCATCTTTGAGAGATGTTCAAAAGACTAGTATTATTGTGTACCTTTGCTGGTAGTATTAGATTTATTTTATTCAGAGGTATTTATTCCAGATTATTGTTAATCATTAGATTGTTACGAATATGTTTCTATTCACCAGTTATTATTAATTAGTTGTTTTATCGATGCACCAATGGTCGCTAAATATAAATAACCGGAATAGGGAGATGTATATTCATAGCCACGAATGTTTTCAACTGCCCTAGGGATTAGGTATTCTAGATGAATCTTATATATTTGATATGATTATTTGTATAGTTGGGATTGATCGAATATTATCGTACTGCGGTATTTACATTTTTGTGTCTCGAGGCCTTCGAAGTTTTATAATGCAAAGAATGTAACACGTTGTAATGTATTACAGAACTCGCTCGTGGGACGACGATTGGATACACAAAAACGTTGATAAATTCTTGTACATAAATTCTGATAAGAAACTTACAACGAACGTACAATTACTGTTTTTCTATTCCCCTCCTTTCATCACGCTGTTGCATGCTGCAAGTTTGAGAATTTTCACAGTGAAATGTATTTTTTTTTT